AAAGTTCGTAGTTTAAAAATCAAACCAAAATGTTTTAATTCTAGTTTCCTCTTTTTTAAAACTTGGAAGGTATGTATTTGAAACTGAATTTAGTTTGGTCATATATGTAGTCCAAAACGTTTAAAATTAAAACCGAAATTTTTAACCGTGTAAAAATGTTTGTTAGAAATCTACATAATTAAAAAGCTCCAAATTTTGATAACACTTTGTCGAGTTTTCCAAATTTGTGTACAAAGTTTCAAATTGTGACTTATATGGTTTTCGTTGGGCAAAGGGCTACACTTTCACAACAAAATAATAAACTGTAAATAAACGAAGAGGAAATAGCCAAAGAATGCTAAGATGTCCGCGCCCTATTTATATTTTCGCCACTGTACATAGTATAAGTACTACAAGCGCATGCAACTAGATAAGCTTTAGCCCTCATAAGTTCACACTTGCCTGAATACGCTGACCGTAATTGGCGAGATATCGATTAGCCCCGCGGCTGCAATTGATTGCAATGAGCCAGCCAGCAGAGCATCGCTTCGATTTCAGATCTTAATTCATTAGAGTGGTAATTAAAAATGTACTGCCGCCAATCGATGCGGCGAATGCATTATTGCACAAACAAAGGAATAAATATTACGCACAAATTTGCTGAGAGATCATTATACGATATGCGCATGCCAATATTTGCGCACTCACTGAGTTTTTGCATGCGTGAGTGCAAATAAAAAAATAAAAAAATGCCTGCATTGATTTGAATAAAATGAGTGATGCGTAAATGTAAACGCCCAGTGGGAAAATGTAATTGTATAGTAATCGAAAAAATAATCAGTAACACAACCCTTTTCACATTTGAAAATGCATTTTTTCTCCCCCAGGGCGATGTCCTAAGAAAAGTGGGGCATTCAATTTTGCATTAGCTAATATCGAGAAATTAATGTGTTTTAATATGAAATTTTTGGAACTTTTTGAATACATTGGAATGCTGATTACGTAGTTAGCTGTAATATAATCGATAACCCATAAGAAATACATTATATTATTCATCTCGCATGTAATGCATTACTCCTTTTCCGACTGGGCCTAAATGTGGTAAGAGCAAAGACATACACAGCAACAGCAAAAAATACTGTTGTAAAACTATATATTATGCACAAATGAGAGCTTACTTACATACTTATGTATATGTGTGTGCAATAGGGTGACCCACAAACAATAAAGTCGGAATTGTAATGCTCTCACGCCCTAGGATTGTTCTATATCGAAAAAAGTATACCCCTATTTTTTTGCTTGGAAATCAAAAAATAGTTAGAGGTCGCTCAAAGCGCCCAAAGTTTTCCACGTATTTTTATATGGGAAAAATTAAATTTTTCGTAGAAATGGTATAGAATTCTTGAAAATCAGTATTTTTCCATCGGAAAACTTTGGTTCTCTTCAGGAGACTCTCATTAATAGTACCCAATTGTTTATTTAATAATTTTTATTACCAACGATTTTTTATTGGTCGCCCCATTGCATTTTTCATGGTTTTTGTGGGTTTTTGGCGGACCCTTAAATTATAGTTGCGATGAAAAAATTGTTAAATAATCTCCTGCAGATAAGCAGAGTTTTCTCGTAGAAATATATTGATTCTTAACTATTCAATACCATTTCTATGAAAATGAAATTTTCCCCCATATAAAATACACAGAAAACTTTGGGCACTTTGAGCGACCTCTAATTTTTTTTTATTTCAAAAAAGTAAGGGTATAGTTTTTTCGGTATAGAACACTCCTTGGGGATGAGAGCATAAAAATTCCGACTTTACTTTTTCACATGTATTTTTGGAACACCCTAATGTGCATACATACCCAAGTAAGATATACGCACTTCTGGCGCTTAATGGCTCAGTTGAGCCGCTTTGAAATGCAATAGCGGTGCAGTCACGACTTCACTTTCAATACACCAGCAGGCATAAGTGTGCAGCAACAAAAAGCACTTTCATATGCAAACATATGTACGTGCTTTAAGATGAAACACGCTCCATTCAAAAAACCTGGTACGGATTTTCCATCGGAATTATGTTTAAAATTTATTTATTTACTTGGGAAAGGGATTTCGGAAACTCGTTTCGAAATATATCACCTTAACCCCTCGAAAAAATCAAGCAACACCAACATAGAAAAGTTATTTTTACTTTAATACCTACGCCAAAAAATTTCGGAAATCCGAAAATAGAATAAAAAAATTCGTTTCTAAAAATATTTTTTTTTTAAATATTTTTTCTAAAAAATCTCCTCAGATACTAGAAGGATTTAAGCTTAAAAAATATGCATGGAAATGTTTAAAAATTGCATGGAGAGAATCAAACTAATGAAATTTTTGTTGGTATTATCAAATCGGTCTAGCTTACGTAGATCTTAATTTTTTTCGAAATAGTTTGGTGGATATAGAATACAGTATCTAAGTTTTATAATTCCGGTGGAAACGCGGCAACTTTTTTTTGGTGACGCACCCTAATGTACAAATCCACATAAGTAAAATAAGTAATTTTAAATAACTTCAGCTGCAATTGGCTCATATCAGCATATGCGTTTCAAGTATTCAGGCACACTCACACGCACAAACACATACGCAACGACTTTGCCGCTGCGGGCAAATAATTTGTTATTCTGTTGAAAGTTTCTTCCCACAATGCGAAGAGGCTAAAGTTTTTTATGCGCAAATGCGTAAAAGTTTTTTAAAATCATGCAAATGAACTGTTAACGCGATTTTCATTGTTTATGTGCAGCATTTGCGCGAATGTGTGCGTAAGAGAAGGTGAATATTTGAGAAAAACATTGCATTTGCATGGATAATTACTTGTGGCAGTACAGTAAATGGCTTTTAAATGCAGTTCGCATTCAAGTGGGGAATAATTTTCAAGTGGCGCGGCTTAGTTAAGGCTGATCAACTTGGTTAGGGGAATTGATTTTTACGCTTTCCCAGATGCAATTGAAATAAGATATTAGTAAAAAAAAAATCTATTTAAGATGGCTAAAAGAAGTGTGGCTTTTGATATGCATAGAAAGAACGCAAAATTGTGTAAGCGCAACTTTGCCTCACGCGTTCGTATACCTTAAATGGGACCTTGCATCTACCTCCGCTTGATGAAATTGATCGAGGCGGTCACATTATTGCAGCAGTTAGACTCAAAGAGATCAAATAAATCTGTGGTCATTCAAATATTCTAGTCACATTACCGCGTCACGGATGTATGAAGAAGTAGTGTTTGTCATTTGGAAGGCAGCATGAAATCTTTATCAAAGGCCTAGAGAGAACAATCGAATATTTTTCTTCTGTGGCTTTACACTCACACATAGAAAATGCAAATTCCCTTACGGAATGCCATACATGCTCTGCTCGATATAGCCCAGGTTTGTAGAATTAAGTTAATATACATACATACATATGTCCTTGGACGCCTGAATATTAAGGCGAATTGTAAAAGTGGCGAATTAGCAAGAAAAGATTCGACCATATCCTTCCAAGAAAGAAAGATTATCAATGGCTCTATTTCAAGAGATCACACGACTCATTTCGCCAAACAGCGAGGATTCTTAGCCTTCCTATAACAGAAAACGCACAGCACGTATACGCGTACTCTTCAGTTTCCTTATCCTTAGCCGTGTCTGCGCGCGATTTTCAGTATGCATTGTTTGTCTTCGTTGCGACAAAAAAAAATCCCTTCTTAACAAAAAGGGGCTCCCTTAAGATTTACTAATAAAACGACATCACAGCTTAATTTACTAAACAGACATTTTTTAAAATTCTAACCACCGCAGGCGTTTTTATTTGTAGATTGTGTTTATATTGTAGATTGAAGATTTATGAAGATTAGCTGCTTTGAGTAAGCGCAAAATATTATAATTTTACGCACCGCTACTGCACTTATGTTCACACCAACTTTTGAATGCACAAAGGAGAACATTTCAATTACACAAAGTGCAGAGAACTATTTTGTGTTTACTTTTAACTCTCCATTTCAGTTTCACAATGAACGAAAAGTAAAAATAAAAAAACAAGAATGTGAGTAATTCAGGTCACTTAAATTTCCGTCTGTGTCTTTATAGGCAAAGTGTCTGCTCAAGGCAGAGCTTCTGCAGAGCCTACTTGCATACGTCTTACAAGCAAATAAATTCTGACATTTCTGCGTTTGCTGCTCTCGTTGGTAGGCAGCTTGGCAGCTTGGCAACCAAACAAATGCGGAAATGTGCAGCGAAATGCAAATGCAAATGCAGCAATACTGGATGAATGTACGCTACAAAAACAAGAATTTGTTGCATGCGTATGACAAACTGGCTGCACGCTTACTACTCCACAGAGCAGTGCTTGTTTAAAGGCAAATAAATGTATCAAATTCTTGTGCATTGCTTGAGTTGCTGGTTAAATTCAAGCCGATGAGCATACTCGTATAATGCAAATTCTGCTGTTTAAGGAAAGCACACGTGTAGGCGGGTGTGGCTTTACAAGCGCATACATTCATGCATATTTATTGCCCAAAATGAGCAACAGACTCGAATGTCTTAAGCAAATTAAATTTATTTACGCCACGTTACGCGTTAGTGTGCTGCTGTACCCTGCAGAAAAAAAATATTAATCGATAAAAAATAAGCAACTTTTTGCGGGATTTCAATAAATAGTTTACTTTTTATTGCCTATGATAAACTAATTTAAAGTGAGTTGTAAAGTCATGCAGGAATCATTCAGTTGTAATCCGGAGTTGGTTTTCTTTAAACAATTTTCTATTTAAATATTCTCATACAAATTTTACTTTGAGTATATTTTTTCTGCACTTAACAAATACTTTTTTCGAGTTCAGGAAAAATAGAATTAATGAGGAAATGCGAATATGGGACGACTTACAGCAGAATATTTGAACAAATATGTAATGTTAAATAAAGCAGAAAAATAAACAAGTAAAATAAATTAAAAAATATTTTTTTTTTTTATTAATATTTTATGTGCAAAAGTGACACCTGCACTAACGCATAGGTCATCGCCATACAAATATTGTTAGCTTCTTTAAGCAACTTCAAGTTAACTTATAGTCCGATACATTTCCTGCAGGGTAGTNATTTTTTTTTATTAATATTTTATGTGCAAAAGTGACACCTGCACTAACGCATAGGTCATCGCCATACAAATATTGTTAGCTTCTTTAAAGAAAATATACCGATAATAGCGACCTTTAGTTCCTTCCTAAGCAACTTCAAGTTAACTTATAGTCCGATACATTTCCTGCAGGGTAGTTGCTACATGCTTACTACATATACATATGTATATTGTTGATGGGGCGTTGAAGAAAATGGAATACTCATGTTCTTAATGCTTGCTTCTTGTCAACGAAATTCATGTTCGTTCATATGTACATATACATACATATATGTGCGAATTTTAAATATAGGTTTGTAACTTTGTTTTGTTCTTATGAATTTCTGAGCCTTTATCTTATGCTCACTCATAACTCATGCGCTTGCTGACATATGTACGTACGTACATACATAGTATGTATATGTACACATATACTTATGCTAATGACACATTACAGTAGAATGCGAAGCTCCTGAATAACTTAACACTTTGATGCTTTATCTCATTAGAAATAATTGTTTACGTATATTTAAATGTGAAGCAAAAAAAAAACGGAGATTTATGAGAATCGTGTTAACATACTTATTTTCATGAACATATGTATGTACATACGTAAGTATACACATACACGCACATCCATATACAAGCATATCTACCTTTCTCAAAAGAAATTGCAAATGTATATCCTCTAAATAGAAATTTATTGTGATTAATTATGCATACAGCATTAAAGTGCTAATGAATTTGATTGAATTACAGCAATAGGATGAAATTGTGTGAAAATTTGCGTTCGTATGCGAAATTTAATTAGTTCATTTTCCAAGTTGAGTTTTAGCAAATTAAATAGACGGCTTAGTAAATGCTGGAGTGAAGCCTAATAAAGTGCATTGAAATGTATCAATTAAATTTTCTTAATTACAACAATTTGAATATGTTGCATTATTTTGTTTAGCACTTGCACTCTTGAACTAATAAATTGGCTGCACATTGGCATTTTGACAAACAATACTCCCATTGAACGGCTAAAGAAGATTACTCTTAATTGGTGCCCAAGAAGATGCAAAGTCGTCAAATAATAATGTTTACAAATATATGTTTACTAAATACATTAAGTACTGATGAATATACAATTTATGAAGAGAAGAGAATAGTAGTTAGTAATACAAGGTGTTTTCTATATTATTCTTCATGCATGTACTATGTAGTATATACTGAATATTATGGTATTTTACCCAACCACATTAAAATTTCACCATAAAGATCTAAATTTCCAAAATATCGTCCCATATGATACCTCTTTGAGAGATGGTGTCATAGCTTAATGGATAAAATATTTTCAGTCTGCGGTACATGACATGATGCACACATATATATGTACGTCGAAGACAATATATACATAGATAGTATTTATTTTAGTATTTACGAACAAACGTACCTGCATACATACACTCTAAAAAGTGTATGTAAAACTACTACTGAAAAGTGTTTATTTTTCAACCAGAATCTGTTCAACTATACGCAAAAGATGTTCAATAAATTTTAAACATTTTATGTGTTAACTATGAAAATGTGAACAATAAATGTTTAAAACTCAAAAAAAAAAATTGAAATTTGTTCTACGCCACACATATGATCAGTAAAAGTAAGCAAGCAGTGTGTAAATTTGCATTCATTAAGAGAGGAATCTGGTTACCTATCTTAATATGCGCAAATTTAAACAAAAATTTTTTAGAGTGTATATTTACGTGTACATCACTGCGACGTTATCCACCATAGGGACGTGTGCGCCAAGACCTGTTATACATAGCTGAAATTTGAGATTAACTTGAGAAAGTTGGGCCTAAAGTGTATACACAGACAGCTGAAATATGAATGTGTAATAATTAAAACTAAAAAAAAAATTACAAACATTATAGTCAGAAACAAACATTACGTTTCAAAGCCATTTTCCCCAACGAGAAATATTTATTAACTTTTTATCGACGCCTCGAAACCATACCATACCACCACACAGAATTTTTACTGAAGCACGAGTCGAAGCTTTAGCTCGCTTTTTTATTTGAGGGGCATTCACATCTCTTTTATGCCCACGAGCAGTTAGGAGCAAGGGTCCAATCGATCTTTCATTAACTCTTATAGGTATTAACAGCTATTCCGATCGCTCTTAAATGTAAATTGATTAAAGTCACTGGGGTATACATTAAGGCTGGAATACAATACTACTCTAGCACTCGGAAACGATAAGGCTTCTGATGACGGTCGTTGGATTCACTGTTGGATCGTTTGGTGGTTTTTATTAATGAACTGATAATGTACAGGTGAGAGCTAAGGTGTACAGTGAAGGATTGCATGGTGACCTCTGCGCTGGTAAATCACTGGTGACTCACGTCAAGAGTGAGGCGACTGGTTAGACCCCTTTCGGTACAGTGATGGATGGCTGGCGCCGGTGAAAGTTTTTGTGACGACTATTGGTAGCACTGATGGGATTGTCCGGTGACTCTTGCCAACGGTGAACTACTCACCACAGCCTGAGGACTATAGAGAAAAATACTATGTACCTAACTCTCTCTCTACCAGTTCGCTAAAATATCGGCTTAATTTAATTCAAAGCTGTTCCGATAGCAATCAATTTTGAATGCCTTAGCAGTTTGAATATACATAAATAAGTACGTATTTCACATCTCACAATTTTATGTTTTATTCAACAAAATGCAGTACATAATCCACTTATTAGTAGTCATTAGCGAATACCGATATAAAAATAGTTATTTCTATATAATTGAATCACTCAGTGTAGGCTTAAAATTCCATTCCCTACCGATCGTCATACCACATGGCGTCCCTTTTATGTATTTTATATGTACTTTTTGCCAACCAGTAGGACTGCTACGATAAGCGAACTCTTTTAAAAGCATTTCGTAGTCGTAAACTGATCAACGGATGACCCAATTTACTGCAGAATATGTTACACACTCAATTCCTCAAAACTCCATTCCCAGTAAATTCTTCACTTTCAACACTTAACGCATCTTCTTGAAGAGTCCAACCCAATTTAAAATCGTCGGCCAAAAGGAAAAAAAACAGCTTTTACGTTCCATTTCGTCTTCTCATCACTTCAAGAAAATGCAAACCGAAACTTCATCGCCTGGACTGTCACTAATGCAAGCACTTTGGCAGAACATTTAATGCATCAACATCAAGTGCAGCAAACAAATACATACAAACATACGCTCCCACACATACACGCGTACTGACGAACGCCTGCCAATGTGGCAACGCAGACGAGAAGTAGGAATCACTTCAATTGCCGCCAACATTGGATTGCCCGGAAAAAAAGTGCATAAAATGAAAGCAAACCGAAACAGAAAAGTGCAACATAAGAACGTAAAAGAAGAAGAAGAAGAAGAAGAAGAAGAAGAAGAAGAAGAAGAGCACTAGTGGGAAGCTTAAAAACGTGTCTGCCACACTCATACGCATACACACGTACATACGTCACACGCCGGAAAACTAAACTGAAAGCAGAGTGCCCAGCAAAATGCTGACACAGCGTCCCTGCGCTGCAGCAAAGACGCATCGCACACAGCCAAGTGACATTCGCATTGCCAAGTAAGTGTCAGTTGCTATGACACAGCAGAGTGTATATTTTATTTATATTTTTTGCACATTTCAATTTTATTTATGTGTATTTTGATTTTTTTTTGCCCACCTTCTAAGTATGTACGAGTATGTATGTATGTAGTTTAGTAAGTAGAACTCTTCGTCGTATAATTTGTAAGTCACGTAGTATGAGCGATTTTACACTTTTTTCCCCGACTTCCAACTTCCGGCGTGCTACTTCCGTTATCCTGCTTCAGCTCATTTCATCTCAATGCTTTTACTTGCTTACTTAGTTTTTACCGTCAAATCGAACGTGATTCACTCGCGTACACAAAGCAAACTATTGCTGGCCAATGTGCGGGGCGGATGAAGTGTAAATACTCGTAGTTGATGCAGGTGACGCGTTGACATGCGACGCACGCAGATTTGTGCAATCAATGCAGCATCAGGCGATGCTACAAAAATAGTTCGAAAACAACACTTGGAAGCATTTTAGAAGTGATGAAGTCACATTTGATTACTTTTAGATATATTGGTGCATAGTATTGTTGTGTTGGTTTTGCTATTTAAGTCAACTTTTCAAATATCTACATATTTCTGTGCGTACTCTATAAATAAGAAAGGATTATTTTTCACATCCGGGATTAATCGATTCACCGCCTAACTTTTTCTTAAGTTAATTGCAAAGCTACGGCGCCTGTTTATAGTTTTTTATTGGTAGATTGTGTTACCCATAGCATCACCAGAGTTCGTTTCAAATGGCTCCTCCGACAACATCTTAAAGATTTTTTGATTCCATTTTAAAGGCATTTTACAAAATTTTTCTACCACGTTTAGTTTTTGAGAAAAAAAAACTCTTGAAATGTCGAAATATGGCAAAAATTCCAACTTTCAAAAATTAAAAAGAAAAAGAATTTGCATGTATGTAGAGAGGCAGACCAGTTCTTCAGTTTTTTCTTAAATTCTTATTTGTGGCCACTGTAGCCTAGTTGTTATACAGGTGCCTTCATCGACTCATTACCTATTGGCTCCTTTAATAATCTTGTTTCTAATCCTTCCCATGGGTCTCCAAATTTTTCCTCTCTTTTCGCTTTTCCCACTAAGGCTAGCTCATCGGCCACGCAATTTTCTCTATGTCCCAGTACCCATATCAGTCTGACCTTGAAGACGGTGCTAATATTGTTTATAGCTGTCAGATATTCCAGCGCAACCTTTGGCCTTAGTATTACCGCATTCATTGATTTGTTGGCCGCCTGGCTATCGAAGGAGATATTTATAGTAGTCATAGAACGTCGTGTGTCCTATGGTACAAACCACCTCCTTTATAGCTCGAGCTTCTGCCTGCTAGACTCTGCAGTGGGCCATAGTTCGGAGAGATAGCTCCCATTATAGTTCACTAAAGAAAATTGCATAGCCAATCTTAGTGTCTAGTCCGGAAATGCGGACAAGATAGATAATGGAACGGATATTAAGCGTATATTCGGGTTTAAACACAAATATCCAAATGGGTTTGTGGATATCCGAATACAATAATAGATAGTAGGTATTGAATATAAAAATTGCATATAAGTAAATCTCACGATTTGTTACATTTTTTGTCAGGAACGTATTAATGATCCAAAATGGTGACACACTTATCTAGCACCATGCATTATCTTTAGTTTTGCATAAAGAACAAGATGCCATCGCCAAATTGTGTTTCAATGAAATCTTAAAAATATGTACTAGAAAAATATCCACAAATGTATATGTATATAACGGATACGCCTCGTAGCACTATTGGCAGTCATACGCAGTAGAGTGGTAAAAATTTTGTATTTGAGTAAAAAGTCTCATCGTGAGAAACGGGGCACGCCCTCGGTTGGTTTCCTTTTGGCATTTGTAATATCTATAACAACTTTCAACTTTCTACTGTAAGCAATACAGGTTATTCAATGACCTTGAAATGCGCAACTTAATCCCTTTGAAACAGGCAAAAATATTGGTGCATTTTTATAAAATGCTACTGCTGCCATGACAACTGAAGTTTGAAATATTTTTTCAGCGAATTTAATTTTAAAATGCCTAACTTATTGTTTGGTTGGTATATTTAGGAAAAACTTCTAGAGTAAAATATAAACATTTAATGAGCATCCTGAAAATTTATACTCAGAAACCCAAAGTTTTATGCCAGCACCTCATCCCGCAAGATGAACAATGTTTGGGCTCGAACCCTATCTCGAAACTTTTTTTGTCACCTCAATACGCAGTCAGCTAACATATGTATTTGGGCGCCTTACTAAAAACTTATAATTATTAATAGTCATTTAATTTTCACACAGTATTCTTCTCTGATGTACATATATATTTATTTCGCGTGGAATATATACAAATAAAATGGTAAATCTTTATTTCTTGATGTATATAACAATTTTATAATGAATTTCAAGGGCGCCAATTAAAAATGTAAAAATTGTACATTGTTTCGCAAGTCACCGTTATCTTATTATCAAAGTTTTTTTTTATTTCAAGGTTCACTAATTTTATTATCAACATTTTGATGTATCTTAAACTTTATAAATAAAAAAATCTTTAAACTTCAACTATTAAAAAAAAGCTAGGGTAACTTCTTTTCATTTAGTGGCACACTATTGAAACTTCTCAGTTAAACTGCATTCGATGCCATCTTTCGTAGCCTCTAATTAAAACATTATATTTGAAAACTTCCCAAAGTAATCAGTTCCTTTTTTGAATGACCAAAATGCGTCCGCTATGAGTGCACTCCCATCCTATGGCTTTATGTTAATTGCATCTTTTAAATCACAATTACAACAAGCATTTCTAATTCTTACCTGTATTTCTGATTGTGGCATTAAACTCAAGGACTCAATAAAACCACGCGTCTTTGCCTAATATGTAGTTCCAATCACATGCTTGAGTTAAAAATAGCTCCAAATCAACAAGGAATAAATGCCCAATTTCATATCAGTCAATATCGAATCAATTAAGTATAGTTTCGTCTAACTTTTGATATTTTTACATACATATACTGTACGATAAAGTTTACGCCATTTATAGCCGCAAGTAAAAGCCAGAAGTTTAGCCCACGTAGGTAGCTTCTAAATCGGGTGGCCCACTCACTCGCCTAGCTGGATGAAACACCCACACAACCAACCAACCACCCAACCAATTGAGTTGTATACATAATTTATTCTACCTGTTTCGCTTAGTTCAATTGCGCCCCGGCTATATTGATTTCCGTAGAATTTGTTATTAATTTGCTGTAGTTTTTGCTACGAGTATTTTGCTGCTGCTGCTTCTTCCGATGGTTTGCTACTTTTAATTACAAAATGGCAGTAAAAATAGGTACCTTAACCAGAACTATACAGCAATCAAGCATCATTTTCCAAATTTCGACAACTTTATCTCACTCAGACGCCAACTGGTTGCAGCATTTCGAAACCATTTACTTAGCAAACAAACACTTTCATGCATACATAAATACTTACATACATACATACGGTTTTCCAAGCAAAGGTAAATTCTTTGGAAAACATTTCGTCGCACTCGTACATCCTTGACCTGTGTTTAGCTGTATGGATTCTGTAATGGGAATGTGCAATTAGCTGCAAATGATGCATGTAATTAAATAACTGCTTGCATATGTATCTCTAGAAATTTAAATAAATATATAGAGCTGGTACACAAATTTACAAAACGATGTCAATAAGGGGTAAGAAAAACAAGTTAGAACCATCACACTCTGCCTGAAAAAAAGATTGCTTCTAGTTTATTCATGTGAAGGCTGGCAAATATGAGAAATCAACATCGGGTTGTAAATTATGACTTTAAAATTTGTATGTGAACTGATAATAGATTTTTTTCATTTTTTTTTTATATAAAATATATTTTTTTCATACATGAAAAATGAAAATGCATGTATGTCCCTATGTTTTTTAGCCACTGAATCAAAAATGACTACGAAAAATGAATTAGACCCCTCCCTCACTCCCTTGAACCCCCTTACTACACTCTGAAGGTGATTGATTTTCGATTTTCCAATCAAAGTTAAAATATACTTATAGGTTTCTCTATGTTTTTTTTTTTTTTGTCCACTCCCTCGATTACCCCTTGATGGGCTCAAAGCTTTAAACTCTAGCTACCGATAGTCAGCTCCCCATCTTTCTCTTGACTTCAGAGAATTGTAACATACGTACCACCAAAGATCCATCTTTCTTGAGATTTACGCAAGATTATTTATTTATAGGTTTTCGCAACAACAAATTTTGAATTGAGAGAGATTCCAAGCTTTCGATTTTATGAATTTTTTTCCATATAAAGTTTGCTCGAAAATTTTTAAACGAATTAAAATATATGACACCGGTAGAAAAAAAAAAATCATCGGAATATTGCAGAAACTTGCACTTTCATTTAATGGACTATACAACTGCAACCTTAGAATCTTTCTAGAAATGCTGAATTAAAAGCTTACTTTTCGTACTGCGTATTCCCAATAGAATTCAGCGGTTTGTAGACATTTCTCATGGCCCTTAATTAACTTTTTAGTTCCTTTAAGTTCCACTTTTTGTAATTTTTTAATCTATAATTTGGCATTTTATGCTCAATTTCTATATTTTAGGATTGTGCCAAACGTGCCTCTGAGAATGAAAGTGCCCAAAAATGGCACTATTGTGCCTACTTTTCCATCACTGCTGTGAATGGGCGCCATACGTTCATGACACATACATATGTACACTTCTACCTATGCACAATCCTAGCCCACAGCTGGCTAGTGTAATATGTATGTGCATCTTCAAGTCCACTCAGGAAAGAGCAATACTTACTATAAATAGATGTGAAACAAAAAAAATGTGCATCTCACAAGCCAAAAGCCAAAGCTACCGAAGCTGCTGATCTGAATTTAATTTTGAATAAAATTTACAAGCGCCTTGTTCCATTTATTTCCTACTTCCGCTTGCGTTTGAACAATACACATTATTTTGCAATTTCACTCCTTGGTAATTGCTGTTCTCTTTTGTTTTTTTTTTTTCTTCTTTACTTCACTTTATTGCTGCGTTTTACGATTATTTTTCCTCTACGTACATACATACGTACATCACTCAATACTTGGTCCAGCGTAAGCTTAGGAAGTTTATCAATTGCCCATTTTTTCCCCATCAGCTCCATCCACACTCAAATGCCCTTCACCACCATCCTGCCGACCACCGCAATAAACTTGTTCTGCTTGTTGTTTTGCTTTTATGGACGTCGAGCACTTTTCAATCTTTTGCGGTCAACAAAGAACAACAATTTGCACAGCACTGGTTGGTTACAGCTTTGTAGTTTTCAAGTGCCTGCAAATAGGCGAAATTAGCTTCTAATTTTTCTTGTTATTGCTTTCAATTTGCTTTCGGTTTTATTACTATTTTTTCTCCTCATCAGCTTCGCTGGCTTGAGTGAGCTTGGACAATTGAATTTGTGGCATTAATTTTATTGTTTTTTTTTAGTTTTTTTTTTTTTATTGCAGTTGTTATTGCTTTTCGTTCGAAATTTCTACGCTCTAATGGAGAGGAAAACCAAATTTTGTAGAACGTCTGGTGCACGTTGCCTATGTATGTATGTAGGTGTGCGAGTATATTGTTTTATGGGGCAGTGCTGGTGGGCATTAAACCTTCGCTGGTAGACAATTGGCAGATATGAAATGGTCAATGTGAGTTATTGGTTTTATGCAGACTATAATCGAGTATGTATGTACGTATATTTATGTATATAGCAGCAATGTGAAGCGGAAATCAGATTTCTGTCCAAGATTGCAAAATAATTTGAAATGGGTAAACATTATTTTGGACAATGAATAAAGGCTGGTTTGTAAGCACCTTTGGCTAATGGGAATGAAAACTTGGATGTGATTGTAGACACGGGGAGTTATTGCTTAAACAAAAATCTAATTAAAACTGGTTAGGCATTTGTACATGTAATTTAAATAACGCCACAAAGTGTATTCATTTGTATTTTAGTACACGCGCTAGATTAAGTTTGTCAACATCAAAATTTAATTTATGTCCTCAATTTAATTAAATTAAATTTTTCAAAGCGGTGGCAGCGTTCCTCGAAAATATTTTCAAAATCAACTTTTCTTATCTCACTTTATTTTGACGCCCATATTTCAAGATTTCATTAGCCTTATAAATCGAATTGATTTAAATTTTTCGTGCATGTGGCAGCCTTCTTTAAAAAATATATTCTTTGAAAATTTTGCTTGCGGGCTTAAGCCCCGTTAGTCTGAAACCCGTATTGTATTGAGATGTTGTTTATCTAATTTTTTTGATTGAATTACATTTTTGAAACATATGGCAACCCTCTTTATAATTATTTTAGGAAGTAAGCTTTCTTACATTCAAATAATTTGATGTTAGTTAACCGAAAATTTTCAAAGAGGTGGCAACTTTGTATCGAACTTACTAAAAAAATATAACAAAAAATAATTATTTAAATCACCTGTTTTCGAGTTTTTGTCCGCCGTCTATAGAAAACCAAGTCTTTTTGCTGCGAGTTTCTTTTTAAGGATGGTGTTTTTTTTTTTTTTTTAAGAATGTAACCAATTTTATGCTGTTAGTTGTAGTTATTTTTAAAATCCAACGCGCAGTTGTAAATAAACATACCTATATTTGTACATAAATTCTGTAATTTTAAAACTTTGCTGGCTTTAAAACTTTTTTCTCGCAAAAAATTGGAAAAGTCCTGCTGACTTAATAACAAAAGTAATTACTTACGCCACCCAATAGCCTCTTGCATATTATATATATGTACATACATACATACACTTGCAGATAAAACTAACTGATTAATTATGTCGCAGTGCCCTTGAATTTACTCTTAAATAAAATATCCACTTAACATCTGTATCTAATTAAAATCTTCCAGTTTATGCTTAGACACGACACAGACACAACAACTCCTCAGACAGCAGATCCTTAAACAAACAATAAAGGAAAGCAACAAAACGATAACAAAAAAAAAAACCCCAACTACAACAAGAATATTTTCAAAAAACACTTTCATTTGACGGCGCATTTGTTCCGCTGAGCGAACTCTCAGCGCTGTCGCTACGTGATTTATGCACCGTCAAATGGTTTATCTGCTACTCGTCTTCGTTCGCCCACACCTTTCTGCAGTGTGTATACTACATATAGATTCGTGTGTACATCCTTAAGTCGGTGAGCATGTCCTGTTGGCACACCGAAATCGCTACTTTATAATAAATATTCCTCGCATTCGGGACGTTTTTTTTTTTGCTCGTCTCATGAGAATTTTCTGGCGGTGTTCCATCATTGCCACTTCACTGCTGCCACAATGCTTCCGCCGATGATGTCCTGTGTTGTACTACGCTGCTATATACATAGCTAGGCAGATATCTGCTTCTGTTGCTGCTTAAGAATTTTTATACTGNGCTCGTCTCTTGAGAATTTTCTGGCGGTGTTCCATCATTGCCACTTCACTGCTGCCACAATGCTTCCGCCGATGATGTCCTGTGTTGTACTACGCTGCTATATACATAGCTAGGCAGATATCTGCTTCTGTTGCTGCTTAAGAATTTTTATACTGGCATTTATTTAAAACTTTGCTTCATGTTAAGTATGTACATATGTATGTTTGTATGTTTGCTTGAACCACTCAGTCGCGCGCGATGCTGGCCAGAAAAAATTGAGTCTTTGTAGGAGTCTTCATCAACTTTACGCGAAAATTAAAAAAAAAAAANAGCATTTATTTAAAACTTTGCTTCATGTTAAGTATGTACATATGTATGTTTGTATGTTTGCTTGAACCACTCAGTCGCGCTCGTAAGCTGGCAAGAAAAAATTTAGTTTCGGTAGGAGCCTTCATCAACTTTACGCGAAAATTAACAAAAAAAAGAAATATGTAAAACTGTGCTGCATTTCATTTGCTGGAGCAGAAGGTGGCGGTGAGCAGTCGATGTACGCTCGGTTTCATTCGATGTGCAGAGAAGGGCAAGTGGATTCAATTTTAATGCTTCGTTAAGGGCAAATAATGAAATTAATAATGAGCAACAAATCCGCTTGGCAGTCAAGTGTGCAAAGTTAATTTGTCAGAAATCGCAGGTACATTTTTTTTGTGGCACATTTACATTTTCTGGATTTTGTTATATTTTCTTTTTTCTATTTTGGTTCAGTGACTTGCTGCGAACACTCTATCCGATTGGCTACTTCAAATCTTCAACTGACCAGTCACTCAGAGATTTTCAAGTGTGTACAGGAATTTCGGTGTGACTTGTTTTACTGTGCTAGTACACTCGACAATATTCAATAACTGGCGGTGCTACANTGTGGCACATTTACATTTTCTGGATTTTGTTATATTTTCTTTTTTCTATTTTGGTTCAGTGACTTGCTGCCACCACTCCAGCCGATTGGCCACTTCAAATAATCAACTGACCAGTCACTCAGAGATTTTCAAGTGTTTACAGGAATTTCGGCGTGACTTTTTTTACTGTGCTAGTACACTCGACAATATTCAATAACTGGCGGTGCTACAAGACTCAACCGTTTTTTTTAAGCTGGTTTAAGTATCAACGCTTTTAGACATAGCAAATTCGCAGAGAGAAGAACTCCAGGCATTTGGGATAATATTTTAATCGCCATTCACCAGGGAGTGGCCAACGACGATTCGTTTGCCACCACTTTCGGCGTTTACACAGAATATTCTCTGGGTAGCAACAGAACACACTCATTCGAAAGCGAGCTAATGTGAGAAAACAAACTGCCAGAAATGGTTTCTGCGCCGGACTTGGAGCACGCCACTTACAAAAAAAGAAACATCCACCCATAAAACGAAAAGTAATACCTCCAATCAGACTCCGTTATTGGGGAAGATGCCTCTGGCCCGGCTGGTTGATATACCTGCAAATACAACGGCTGACATCACCGCCATCCAATAAATATGATGGGCATGACGAGGCAAACTCGCAAGTTTGGAAATTCGGTTTTGCCCACAATCCCGCTTATTTGCGCCAACAACGCGGCGCAAGAGAAAGCCAAGGCGTTCTAGGACATCTTCTGTGAGCGCTTGAAGCACGCATATGAGCGCTGTCCTCTCACGATATGGCGATTTTACTGCCAAGGATGCTTTCCTTCAGCCTCCGTGGCTTGAAGACAGAGTAGTTAGTACTTATTTCAAACAGAAAAAATCCATCAAGCTACATCTACAGATTGAAACCTAATCGATAGATCAAGGGCATACTTTCAGTGTTTTAGACCTCCGAACGCCAACATCCACTCGGACCGCTATTTTTCTGCAGTCAATACACGTACACGCTTCAGTCGAGCAAAAAATGTGTGTCCAGTAACTTCACCGCTCATCAACTATCGCCGAGGAAGAAGAAATCGGATTCCAGCTGAGGAGGAAAGCGATACGTGCTTTCCATAAAAAAGAGAAAGACCGAAACACTTGTTTACGAGAAGCTTGGAATTCTGGACGAATTGAGATGCATCTGAAAATTTTACCAGAAAGTTAGGCAACGTACGGAAGGTTTCACGACCAGTGTGAACTCCTCTAACAATCTCGGCGGCCTTGTGACCGATGACCAGAACGTACTCGAATAATAGAAGGAGAACTTGTACACCCTATTGAATGGTAACAGCAATAAAATTAGTGGATAACATGAACCCGAGCGCCAGGCAATGACACGGGGAGTAATCTCCCACCACCTAATTATAACGAAGCACAAATTGTAATTACGCGGCTGAAAAACAACAAAGCTTCTGGAGATGACGGCCTGTCAGCTGAGCTATTCAAGTAGGTCGGTGAGAAGTTGATAAGGTCTTGCATCAACTCTTATGCGGGATTTGGAAAACCTCGTTCGACGCAAAGTCACCCTTTCCCCAAAAATTGCTACTTTGTGTTGGCAATTGGGAATAAACTCCCCTCCCTTCGTAAAAAACTCACACTTTATAAGTCACTCATAATGGCCTTGGTCGAATAAAGCGAAAAGGCATGAATAAGGACAAAGTCCAATGAGACGACACTTGGAGTACTTGAGAGAGAGTTTTTCTCGAAAGACATTGCTTGAGCAACGAAGGACATAGTACAATACATAGACATAAACGAAACAGCTTTCAAAATACAAAAACAGGGAGAAGCTTCCTCAGTCATTGACAGACCCGGTGGAGAAGGATATGGCGCCACTTGGCATCTCCGATTGGCACAAGTGGTTCTTTACTGGTATCGGACAGAATCATTTGGGCGATTACAGCGCCCAAAAAAATGGAAGGGAAACAAGGGTTTCAAGTTATTAGCAAAATGGTAATTTAAATAAACCTCCTACGGTATTTCCATGGAGAAAAGCTTCTCACTAACACCATTTGCCGTTCGAAGGCGTCGCACAGTGTGAAAATTTAACTTTTTCGTGACAACATCTAATATCTCAGCAGCGAAAATACAAGAAAAATAAATTTCGTTGGATAAAAAATTATCTATCAAACTTGTCTCGCTATCTGTTACCGTACTCGAGATATTCGATTTTGACACGAAAAAAATTAAATTTACACACTGTACGTCGTAAAACCCCACTTCGTGTGACAGCAACAAATATGTATGTATTTATTCTTCTTTGACAAATATGCATGTATATATTCTTTTTTAAGATAAATAATATATATTTTAATGAAATAAAACCTAAGAGCCATTCGAATTGTAAAAGCAATTCCCGAAATGCATTNTTTTTATATAAAACCTAAGAGCCATTCGAATTGTAAAAGCAATTCCCGAAATGCATTCACCTACTTGCACTCGACCATTGGTTTGTGGTGATAAAATCATTTGAAGTAATTCCCAACACACAATTACAAATATTTATATGTATTTATGTAAACATGTATGCAATCCACTTGCTGCGCTAAGCATTCTACAAGCATGTAATACTCATTAATTCAATACCCGGCCACTTACTGTCTTAACATGCCACAAGTGCCACAACAAACAACAATAGCAACAATGCCACAGTTAGTATTATTGGAACACGCAACGCAACGCAAATACATGAAATATAACAGTTGTATGTGCAAATGTCTACTATGCATAAATCCTTTGTTGCATCCAACAGTCAAGAAGCAGTCTTGATAAAGCTATTACTTATTGCTCCCAAAAACCAAATNCTCGTATGTGCAAATGTCTACTATGCATAAATCCTTTGTTGCATCCAACAGCCAAGAAGCAGTCTTGATAAAGCTATTACTTATTGCTCCCAAAAACCAAATATTGCTTGACAATGTGCAATGCACTCAAAATGTTTGAAATGCACTTAAGTATCGAAACAATGTATGGTCGAGAAGGATGTGCAATACATGCTATATATGTACATACTTATGTATTTGGAGGAGTTTGAATGTAGACATGTGAGTTAGCACTGAGATGTGTATGCTATGGTTTGATATAATATAATGTGCTAAATATATATGTATGTATAAGTGTATAAAAGTATGCGTATTTGCCTGCGTAGATATTGACCTGCAACCCAGCGCGCTACAGTAAATAATTTTTTTCTACTCGATGATAGTCAAGCGGCCAACGCGCCATACGTTACTCATACGCCGTGTAGTGTCGCAAAACAAAGAGCAGACAATCACAAATTCGCCTCCCTCAACAAGTGGCATACATACTACATACATATATGCATTTTACCTTTCACACTGTTGGTTCCAGTATTTTAATTATTTTATCTTTTTGCCACCGCTATGCCATGGATGCACTGCAACAACCGCTAATTGGTGCCGTTGTATGTCCGCAGCATACAAGTCTACACTGGATTAACAATGTGAATCAGTTCATATTGAAAACTACAATTTTTTCAATTACTTTTACTGGATATTTTATTTTAATTGGTAACACAGCGTTCGCTGAACTTTGAATGTATTCAAATAAGTAAATGAAAAAATTTGTTTTGTCAAGTTTTTTTTTGCAGTATGTTCAAACTGTGCTGCCAGTCAGGAATATTTTTGACTACTTGAAAACTACATTCACTTTTAATTTACTCAAATAGGCCAAGATTAAGGAGTTAAAAATGTAAATACAAAATTTCTCTACTTGTCCATGATTCGTGTTTTCCAGCACTACAATTTACATTGTAATCTTTTAGAAAAAGTTTTTTCCCAAAAGCTCTAGCAAATCAACCAAAAACAGCAAAAAATAAAACAATAAATTTTTATACAATTTTTCTGAAGCGGCAACATTGCGCTCAAATTGTTGTGCAGATCAACGCTCAAGTATGTTACTACATATAAAAAAGTGTTGAGCCTTAAAAAGCTATTAAAATGCATGAAAAATATGAAATCACTGGGCAAAAAACACAAGAAACGGTAACGAACTGGCAAAACCTACATAGAATGGCAGAATAGTGCCAATGGCAAGCAATTTCAATTTGAGTGAGCTGACACTGAAGCTGGTACTACTGCGACCGCCATTTTAAGCATACTTGAGCGGTTGCAGNCACATAGAATGGCAGAATAGTGCCAATGGCAAGCAATTTCAATTTGAGTGAGCTGACACTCAAGCTGGTACTACTGCGACCGCCATTTTAAGCATACTTGAGCGGTTGCAGGCATGCATTTTTTACATGTAGATACACATACAAAACATGCATACATATGTATGTATGTGTGTACGTGTATAGGCATATTCCCAGTGGGAAAAAATAATCACTAAAACAGCCGTTTTCACATTCGATAATGCATTATTTTTCTAACGGCGATGTCCTAGGAAAAGTGGGGCATTCAATTTTGTGTTACCAGTAAGGCAGGAATGAATGCAATTTAATATGAATTTTTTGTGGCTTTTTGGATACATAAGAATGCTGATTACATATTAAACAGTAATAGAATCTAGAACTCATAAGATATAAATTAAATGTAACGCATTACTACTTTTCCCACTGGGTTTAAATGACTTACATATACAGAGGTTAAAGTTTGTGTGTCTATTAGGTTCCAACAGAATACTTAGTAAGCACCTACTTTAGGTTGGTTCTTAAATATATCAACATCTAAATTTTATTTGAGCACCAATTTAAATTTTAAATGGTTCTTAAATATATCAACATCTAAATTTTATTTGAGCACCAATTTAAATTTTAAATTTTTAAAAAAAATTTTGGAGGGATGAAATAATTTATATATTTCTTCTCAAATCGCCAAATTTCTACGAAATTTTTATTTTAATTCTACTAAATTTGTCATATTGTTGAAATCTATTAATATAAATTCTTAAACGCGCTGACTTATAGCTGGGCAAGGCCAAAATTTTGTCAAATTTTTTGCGATTTTTAAAAAATACTATTTTTTCAAACGCTAGTTGCGACCCCGATTTTTTTATAATTTTAAATAATTTAGGGATGTCTTTATTTTGTATGTAGAACAAAATACAGGGGTGCCCCACAGTGTTACAGGTACAAAATTACTTACGGGAAAATCTTCTGCTTTGGAACTAAAACGTGACTACAATATTTATATCTTTGAAGATCTTTGGATAACTTTGGCAGGACTTGGAATTGACGCGAGTCATTCCAGTTTTTCGAGAATTTTTTTTGATAATTTTATATATTTCGATAATTCGATGATTTTCAAAAACATTAAAATGCGAACGCTGGCAAAAATTCGACAACTTAAATAATTTCGATAACTTTCCATAAATTTTGATAACTTTCGATAAATGTTGAAAACTGTGCGTTTCTAGGGCTCGATAATTTTCGATAACTCAAAATATAAATCGATATCTCGACGAACTTTGGATACCTCTATAAATATAGAAAACTCTGTTACTTGACTTGACTGCTTGACAACTTTCGATGGGTAAATTTTTTTATAACTGAATTTATTTCGATTCCTATAAAAAAAATCCTATAAATATCCTTACTCTTTCAGTTAACCTAATTCCCTCTGTATTTAGCATTGTTTTCATTTTCGTCTTTATCTTCAACTTTGCCTTCACTTTTTGTCTTAAGCATTTTCAACATTTATTTATTCACCATCACTTTTATCTTTAGTATAAAGTTTAATTTCAAATACAAAGTAAAACAAAGTGCGAAAACAACCCATATTGAACAGATTGCAACAACAACTATACACAAATACGAACATTTTTTAACGACGATTTGGACCGTAATTTTCAACCAATTTGGAAATGATAAAAACTCCATATTTTAATTAAATTAGAAGAATAAATTAGTTAGTTAAATAAATACGCGGAAAAATTTATTGTCAATTCCTTGTGCAGCATTTTTGCATGGATTTTTCGCCCGTCTAAAGCACTTCTAAACACTTGCTGTTTTGCGACTTTCGTTTTTGATCACAGATATAACAAACAAAAATGCTTGGACATATACCACTGTGGTAATTTTACCGTGGAAGATCCCAAATACCTACATATGTATACCTGTGAGCATACATACATACCTACATACATACATACACAAAAGTATATTAAAATATCTATGAGTTATGCTGTGGTTTAAGTGTAGTCGCACTCAAATTTTGCTGTCAGCGAAAATCTAGCTGCCACTTTGCCTGAACACAACGACAACTTTATGCTTGCAAGCTGAAAACTGCCGTTACTGGTATCATAGGCACACTAACATGGCAACAAATATTTCCACAAACTGCCGAACGCGTTACATATTTGGCTGTCATGTATGTATGTACTAACTACGGTTATGTGGGTGGCATTGCTTTTGGTACTACATACATACATACATACGTATGTACATATGTGCATGCGACTGTTGCCATTGCACTTCAGACTTCACTCAAATGTCATGCGGCAGAATTGTTTGCCATGCAGTTTCGAGTACTCAAATGTGCTGCAAGCGCATTAAATGAACGTTGAAAATGGCAGTAGGACCTACTGCAACAAACAAACAAAAAAAAAAAAACACTGAAATATCCTGCTACTACAAAAAGCGGCAATATGAAAATCTCAAGTTGTAAGCAATGGCTGAAAAACAAACAAATTGCCGAGTTTGCAGTCACTAGAGACACACACACTCACCAAAATGGCTGACAATACAAAAGTGGCTGAGCTTACAACAACAGTAGTACACTTAGGGAA